AACTGTTTTAACATCAAGATTTCTTAATATTCCAAATCTTGCTTTTAATCTTCCAAAAGCATTTTCTACTACAACTCAATGAAAAGAATGAAAACGATTAAAATCTTTTTGTTTTTGAGAATTTGGATCTTTAAAATGTGGAATTAAAAAAGAAGAAATAGGATATGCAGAATTACCTAAAAGATAATCATTCCCTTGAATAAGATTAGAATAATCTTTATAAAAAGAAAAATTTCTAAAAACCCGAGCATCATGTACTGAAGCAGGCCAACCTATATCAAAATTATTAAAAATTCCTCTATCATTTACAATACTTTGACAATGAATAGCATAACATTTTTTTCGAGTAAAGTAAACCTCTGGATCTTTGTTTGGAGCATTTTTCATAATAATATGTGTTCTATCAACTGCTCCAATTACATTTTTTAATCCTCCTAAATTTTTAAACCCATCATGAACTTTTTTACGCTCTTCTAAAGTAGACCACTTAACAAAGTTTTTTTTTGTGCCATAATTGCTTGAATAACTCGTTTAGTATAAAGAATTACTGTTCCTTCTCCTATTCCAAATCGTGAACTAACTTCAAACAAACTTCTAGTAGAACTAAGTTGACAAAGAAATACAGCCAACTGAAGTTCAACACAAATTTGAGGTTTATTTCCTTGAGACAAAAATACAGAATGTGGGCGTATAAGGTCAGCTAATTGTTGAAAATAATGTGAAAACATTCGCAAAAGTTTTTTGAATCGAATGGGATCATAAAGTGGAAGGGTATTTTGCCACCAGTCTTTTGATTTTGCTACATGATATATCCGGAATTTTAAATATCGTGTGTTTAACCTTTGTATTAAAACAGTTTGTAAAATTATATTGTCTTCTTCTTTACTTGAAGAAGCTTCGTTATCTTCAAATTCAGCTCCTAAAAGCTGTAACACTAATGCATTACGTGATCGTTTTTTACGATTCATATTAAAAGCCAATGAAACGAAATAACCGATCGATCCGATCAAAAAATTGTGCTCAATTATAGCTACAATTTTATTGGTTATTGATTTTGCTGATCTGGGCGATCTGAACTAGAAATGAATAGGGCTAATATATTAACTAAATAAATGTCAATCAATAAATTAAAACTGCGCAATTACGAAAAATTGAGTAATAAATTATAAGAAAAAATCAGAAATTAAAAATAAACGAAATTACAAATATAAAATTAAAATATTAAAACGGCGAAAGCGAAAATATCGTGAAGGGATTTAAAGGAAGGTTTTAAGGTGTATGTATACAAAGAAGAGGTGAGCATGTATATTGAACTGTTTAAGGATATTTTCACGTATTTATAAAAAACAAAAATAATTATTATGACATCCTGCCATTTTGTTTTCCTGCCAACTTGGCAAAATGATCTTCAAATGACTAACTGTAAATATCAAAAACAATTTACATACGAAATTATGGTGCCTCTGTGCGAAATTATATTTAAATTTATTCATAAATCAAAAATTCAATTTGAACATAACTTGAGGCAAAATCTTCCTTTATAGCTTTCAAATGGTCAAACTCGCACGAGTTTATATACTGATGGAAATATAAAACTAAATGATGAAGCTGACGACAATATTATTGAATTTCTCGTCATATGATCCACCATAAGTTTATTTCAATAAACATCTTACAAATCATTTCATCAACCGGTATCAATTATTACCACCTACAGCAACAAATCGATAGAATAATTTTGATAATGTTAAATTTATTTGATGTTATTTATTTTTTATCCAATTATGAATCTTATTTATAAAAATATTTTGCTAATAAAGGAGAGTTTTATTTGGGTATATATATGGGGACGCCCGTAGCAAAAGGGGACCGATCAATCGGATTTTGAGATTTCATGATTATATTATGTAAAAAAAGTGCGAAATTAATTTTTTTCGTTGCTTTATTATCATAAAAACTGTAAAAATCTTTTTTTACTTTACAGTTCTGTTTATATATTTAATGGTATAGATAAATTAAAGGCACCAAGGGGAGGCTAATTATTGCTTGCATAATTTTATCCAAGGATATTAAGGCCGTTTTCGAGAATTTAGTTTATTACGCAAAATTTATCTCGTGACTTTAATTGCGATTTTCTCCCCACTTTTGCTATAAGTGTCCTTATATATAGATTCATCGGCATGTTTACTAACTTATATATAAATTTAAAGTGTACATTTCACAATAGATTTGAATTTATTTTGGTAAAATTATTGTTTCTCTAATAAATAATAAATTTTTTATAAGAACATATTTTATATAAATAATACAATTAAAATTATCACATATATAGTATATATAAATGATAACATTCGATTTGAAGGCTTTAAAAAATTAGAGTATCAAATCGTGTTTTTTGATTTTATATTTTGATGCAAATGGGATGGGTTCTCAGATTTATTTATTTATTTATATTTTTTTTAAAAAAAAAACAGTAGTAATTACTATTTGTTAAATTATACTTAGAAATGGTGAATGTCGGGTAGTAGTTATAAATAATTAAAAAAAAATGATATTGATACTTAGAATTACTTTTTATCGTATTTTGCAAGCTAATAAATAAAAAATTCATTTCAATTTATTTCATTATGTATAAATATCAATATGGTTATTCTCTCAACAAAGTGAAAGCAAAAATGAAAGAACATAAATAATGAAATCACAAAACAAATTTTGAAAATTCAATTCTTTCTTTGTTATTTACCATAGAACATCGGAAACGTTCAACGGATTTGATATAATTAAAAAAAAATATATATGTTGTTTATAAAGCGATTGTAAAAGACATTGATAAATTGAATGAAGAACCGATTTTGAATTCACGGTAAGTATGGACAAGGGTTATATACTTGTTTCATGTGATTCTCTCCATTTTCAGATGGACGTTCTTTGAATCAATAAAAAGGTTGAAAGTGCCACATATGTTCTTTCTCACAATAAGTTACACTCGTACTGCTTAAATGCAAAGGACTGTATTACCTAGATCGTATAATTTAAAAGTTTTCAAAGACTGCATTTATGACATAAATAATTGCGAAGCTAAACAAATTGATGGCGTCAGCTATCTAAACGTACGACAAGTATTTGCCTTAAAACATCTCATTCGCTACATACTAACTTATCCTAAATTTACTCTATATAATCTTTATATCCTTTTGCCTGAAATTCATGTATTAATATTACAGCAGATCGGTAAAACTCGGTATAGAATTTTTTGAAGAAAAAACATTATCGCTACGCTCAACTATTGTTCCGAATATAGCGAAATATTTTTTTTACCTATATAAAACTGTGGTTGGCTTTTTATATCCTTATAATGTTCTCGGAAAAGTCTCGGTTATTATCCGGTATCCCATGATTTTTTATAATTAACAATGAATATAATAAATCGTTTATCAGGCAAAAAATCATTATCAGACATTAATAACTTTTATTAAGCATTATTTGTATTAATAAAATTACATTTAAAACTAATTAATTATATATAGTACAATTTTTATAATAAGTTTTATATATAATTATTTTTTTCCCTTTTTTTTTTCTTTTGACTTATATTTAATTCGGAAGATGAAATTTAGCGTAAAGGCCTCTTATTTTTTTATTTAATAGTTGTGAAGCCTTACTAAAACTATTGGATGATTAATTTAAATTAAATGTAATATAAAATTCAAATATAATAATATTGTTATAATAAAATGTAAAATACTACATAACTGAAATAAGAAATTTCATTTGTTATTTTAAGATTTCTTCAACTTGCATCAAATATTGACTGAATTGCTGTATCGCGTCCTAATGATCAGAACTATAAAATGATATAAACTTATCAGAAACCTTTAAACATCCTAATGGAAAAACAAAATATAATTATCACAAGGAAGTTTTGTAGGTAAACAATAGTTTAATCACAGGACACTGGATTAATCACTTATCTGGCACTTCAAGCTGAATAACACTGCTACCTATAAGGTAGCTAATAATATTGGGAATCAAATTTGATTTTCCAAATATAATAGTTATTCAGCACGAAGTGTCGAATAACTATTAATTATCAGCTGTCCCGTGACTGATGAAATTAGCTGTAAAACCAAACTTGATGATTTGAAATTTACCAAAGACTGCAAATTTTAGACTTTTTGAAATACATCAAAAGAACTTCTAGAAACAAACTTTGTTTTAAATGATTTAAATTTAGCATAAATCATTCGATATAATTGTTTGAACTAGAAATTTAGAATATGATCATAATAATGATTATATAATTCATATATCGTCTAGCTAGAAGTTGATCCGATAAAGAAGTTGATTCTTTCAATTTTTAAAGAATTATCTCAGAGATTCTTAATTGGAAAAACTAAAATTTGCAAGAGGTGGAAAAATATCACGTGATATACTTCACCTGTGTCGACTTACACAGCGTTACCCAGAAAAAATGGTAGCCAGATATATTTTACCGAGTAGCATGTGATTTCGGATACTGATTTCTGGTAAGTTATTATGATTGTTTACAAATCAATGACGTGATTAAACAATTTATTTTTTTTTTCTCACATCTATTTTTTTTCTTAAATAATTTTTTCTTACAAACAGTTTCTTTTTCCAAACAAGTTTTATTTTATTTTATTATACAAAGGATCGTGATCA